CAAAACATTACCTCATTTCTACCTTGAGGACTAAAGCCATCACCAATTCCATAGTCACTGAGGTTTCTTCTCCTGCAAAGACAGGCAACATTACGGTTCTGCTCCAAAACAAGGTCTGCATAATCTGAAAGGAAATCAAATCCATAAAGAACAAAATGGTTATTGCATTTCATTCTTTTTGGAATCTATCAAAATTTTGACATTCTTGTTTTTTACTACAATCGAGGCATTGCTTCAAAATAAATTAGTACAGAATAATTACGTGCAAAACTAGGAATGTTGTCGAACCAATTCTAAGAAGGAAGAGAGGGTATGGTAAAACAAGCGTACAATGGTTTTCATTCCTAGGTTGCTTCTTTGAAAACAAAGATGACTTACTATGAAGAAAGCTAGAGAAGGGTTGGCGAGTCAGGTTCAGTTCTTAACTCTTTTATGGTCTTTCCCTGGTTATCTGTTCTTGCTGCCGAAGTTGAGGCCAAGCTTCTTATAATGCTTCATTTTGGCTCCTTTTCAGAGTTCTCTTGTTCAACTACAGGTGTCTTTGGTTTCAGCTTCATAGATTTCAGGTCTTCCTAAAGAGAGAATAATAATGTTTCCACTGCTTTGTACACCCAAGGCTACTTCAGAATTCACATCACATCGATACTTTTATATTTGTCTAAATTGCCTACGAAGCAGCAGCAAAACAGGCACATTTAGTTGCATGTTGAGAATATAATCTACATTAAGAAAGCATTTGTGCATAATTAATTTGATAAAGATACTTACAATGGCAAACGAATAGCAGTTCAGAAAGCTCAGCAGCCAGCAGGTGGGATGCCAGTCTAAGGCATTCAAGAATCCCTTCCCTTCAGAACCTATTAAACCCAGCTGCTGTTCTAGTCAGACAGTGATCTTCCTTCAACGCAAAACCAAATTACTAAATATAGATAATGATGGAACCATAAGACTTACAATGTCAGATCCTCCAGAAAGATGAGTATCTGCTTAACAACAGCTGTTATTGGCTTTGCAGGCTCACATGGTTAATGCCACAAAGTACCTGATATTAATAGCTATTTATCTGTATCAATTGATTATAAGTCCAAACAAGTGGCAATATCAGCAACCATAGAATGTCTAACAAGTATATCAAAATGCAAGTACAAATGCTATTAACTTCTAGACAGTAAATTGTAAAGGAAAAAATCATGTTCAATGCAGAGTTTATTTTTACAAAAGCATGAAGCTAGCATTTGAGAGCAAGTTGTGGAAAAATCAACAGTTCAAAATGAATATAACATGCAATTAATTGATAAATTCAGCCTTCTATTGACAGTATTAAGTGATGGGATCAAGAAGAAGTATTTTTGGAAATTTATAAAGAAATACTATGGCTGAAAAAGAAGAGTTGAAGTTTTAGAAATGAAATATACCATTTTGGATGGGCTAGAACGCTTTTCAGATAACATACAGAACATCCTCTCAGTGGATCAAAATTGAGCACCTCCAACAACACTGTTCAAATTTTTAAGCATGTAGGTAAGTTTTACCATAAGACCTTGTTCAAGTCAAATAAAATGCAATGCCATATTACTCAAGGCTCATTTAAGCTCTAGAAAGCATACCAGAATCATCAAATTTTTCTTGGTGGAGCTGCTTCTCCATTCCTCTGCTATTGATATTTGATAGCTTATTGGGTGAGGATCTGTTAGGGTGTTTTAACTTTTAAGGCCAACAGCCTAGACATACACAGAACAGACACAGACACGTTCATAGACAATTACCATGCCAAATGCAACTATGGAAGACACTATTGACAACAGAATTGAATATTGGAAATATAATATAAGTTAAGAAAGTATTTGTGTGTGGTAATTTGATAAAGATACTTACAATAGATACAAAAAAACATTCTGAAAGTCAGCAGCCATCAGGTGAGAGATGGTCTAAGAGATTCAGAATGCCTACAGTACCGAACCTATTAAACAAAGCTGTTCTAGTCATAATCATGCTCCTTCAACAAAAAACAAAAGTACTAAATACCAATAATGATGCAACCATAGTATTTACATTGCCAAATCCTCAAGAAAGATAGTGTCTTACATAGTTGATGCCACAAATTACCAGATACTAATGATCATTTATAAAGAAATTCCGTGGAGAAAAAATGGAGTTGAGGTTTGAAATGAAATATACCCTTCGGGAATGGCACATAATTTTTTAGGTTAGATGCAGGACATACTCCAAGTTGAGTAAAATTGAGCACCTCCAAAAACACAATATTCAAATTTTCAGGCATAAGACTGGCTCATTTCAAACCAAATGCAATTCCATTTTCCATATATAACAAACAAGACTCAGATATGATCCAGAAAGCATACCAGAATCATCATCTTTTGCTACTGCTTGCGTAGTGGATGAGGATTTGTTAGGTATCTTTAACTTTATGGCCAATGACATAAAAACATACACTGATATATATATATATATATATATATATACATATACATATATATGTATGTATATCTACAGACTCATGCAACAGATAGTTGAATCATCATTTACAGAACCCAGTAAGTGTTTCACATTCTCTCATAGAAATTAAAACAAACCATGGTACAAACACAATATCCTAACCATAACATAAGTCCACACTTAACAATGCAACAAATGAAGAGGAGGAGAAGAAGATTGAAGACATAAGCTATTTTCTTAATAAAAGTCTCTAGAGGGACAGTGTTAGATCATCTCATCAGGCTCTTCAGAACTTGAAGAATTCCATGCCTGCAATGATAAAAATGCATTCCAGTATTATGTAAGTATCAAGTCTTTGGTTCACAAGAACAACTTTTTTTTTTTGCAACGGGAAATGATCTAATTGAAGTCAGAAGCTAATCTCCCCTAGATCAAAATCCTCATTTCGGGGAAAAATAGCAGTTCACCTTTTACAATGTTCGTAGTTTATTGAGTCTATCTACTCTAGTAATAGGAAATTTAAATGTTTTCAACTTCTGAAATTTAGAATTGATTCATAACTTAACAAAATAATGAAGACTTGATTCATCAAATGAAGAGTGAATTGTTTTCAAGAAATTTATAAAGAAATGATGTAGTAGAAGTGAAATAATGAAGATACCTGATGATATTATGAGGGAAGAAAAGAGTATTAGTAATTCGTGAAGAATTGCAGTTGGGATTTGAGAATGAGACTTACCTCTTCTTGCCACTTTGAAACCTCAATCTTGGGAATGGATGATCTCTCACGTAAATAAGATGTTTGGAATGTGAGAAATTTTGGGCCACTCAGCTCTAGTTTCCTCAACACAACTTTTCCTCAACATAGGGCAATCCCAAACTGTGAGCTCTTTCAATTTGGTGAGGCGACGAATGGCTTCCGCAGAAGGCAAACATCTCAGATTCATGCAAAAGTCAATCACGAGACTTTCGAGTGAGGATAAGTTTCCCAGCCACTCCGGTAAAGCATCCAATTTGCTGAAGTTTCGAATTTCCAATTCCCTTAGAGCAATCAGATGTTGAATTTGATGCGGAAGTTGAGTTAGTTT